AAACTTTGTAGTTATGTAGTACTACATATGTGGAATAATCGGTGAAAATTTCAAAGAGTTTGCTTTTGTTAAACTCGAGAACCATGGATTTTAAGATCGTTTCAGAACTTCCGGAACACCCTTTATATATATCATAATTGACTATGTTTATATGTTGTGTTAAAGAGCATAATTACTCATATTTGCTATGCAAGAATGGATGTTATTTGATTTCATTATTTCTCATAAAGTACAGTAAACTACATATTCAATTTTACTCAACCTTTCTCCTATAAGTTTCATTTATCTATAAAAAACTTCATCAAGTTCTCAAATACTTTAAAAAAATTTTATTATGCCAAGTTACAGATGGTTGATGTTCGAAACAAAAGAAAAGTCTCAGGAAAGAATGAGACAAATATTATCAACACGTTTTCAACGTAAAAAGGTTGGAAGAAAATCTTATCACGAATTATGTGCAGAAATTATAACTGAATTAAAAAATTTATTAAATACACACAGTGGTTCTGCACAAGATAGACGTCGTGACGATGCAATACGTTTCAATGGCTCATCAATCGTTGATTGTAATAAACATATTAAAAAAGGATTAATGAAAAAATACTCAAGAATCAATAAAATATCAAATTCTACTGTTCGTCGTTATTTTTTACCACCAAAAAATAATATTCAAAGTAGTAAATATTACAAAAGTCGTATATCAGCAAAAATCCCACAAAAACGTAATTCTCAATCAATAAAAGAACATAGTGATTTTTATTTTACATGTGCACAAGTGAATTACGTGGAAGAATTGTCTAGTTTATACAGCGACGAAATATTAGCACTATCCTGTGATAATAAAGCAAAAATACCATTAGGTAAGCACATTTAAAAAGGAATGAAATGCACTGAGTCTCTTCGCTTGAAAAATTTTCTTGTAAGAGATTTCTTTCTATTCTCGTTTTTCGATTGTTCGTCAGATTGATGGCATATCCTATACACTAATGAAATATGCTCAGAATTCGCTACAAGTCACTTGACGTCAATAATTATATTAAACGAGAAAATATGTTTTCAACGATGGCTTGTTTCTTTTCACATTTATCTCCTACTCTTCTTTTCTCAAGAAGTTGCTCGTCACTAGCAAGTCACACTGCCTGATCTCTTTCATCTTCTATTTTCTTTGATATTTTCTCCGCCTTTTTTATCAATATATGTACTTGATTCTATTGCAAAAAAGATAAATGTATGCATATTCTATAATTGTAATGATATAAATCGAACGTATCATCTATTGGCAGTAAAATGTAATATTGCATCTAATATAATAGATTGATTCGTCTATGCAAACTTCTAGATTATTGTGAATAGAATCAGAACAACAATCAGGTACAGCACTATAATCTTCCTATATTAGTTTATAAAAGTTTCATTGTCGAAAAAAATTCACGGTAGAGTTTGCTACATGCGAATGAATCAATTATATCAGTTGTGACATTATATTTTACTGTAAATATTTATTATGCTTGACTTGTATCCTATATGATTATGATTATAGGATGTGTATATATTCATCTTTTCTGCGATAGAATAAAGTGCATATATTGATGAAAAAGGCGAAGAGAATATCAAAGAAAATAGAAGATGAAAGAATGTGAGTACCATTGTGTCGCTGATCGTGAGAAGTATCCATCTTCTTTTTCGCTATCTATTTTCTTCACAGTATAACAGATATCGTGCACACAAAGAGAAAAATTTCGAAACATGTCGTTTTAGGTGCGCCAGCCGTGAGTCGTTATGTACGAAGTAGAAAATTTCATCTAGTTGAAAATCAGCCAAATTTACCTGATCATGATTTTTCAAGACATGGTATTAGAATCAATCCGTCGGCATATGTTGTTTTATCAAATAAACGGAAACGGTCATCTAGTGTTGATAGTCATCCATCATATGAATTAAAAATCAAGAAAAGATCAAGATCATGTGATATTCAATTATTTCCAAATATAAAACAACATGCTATTATGGTTAGCTAACTGTTCTATTTACATCAGAATCAAAAGTTAAAAACTAATGAGTTTTTTGTTCTTTGTTGATCTAGACGATCGATAAAAGAAATCTTGAATATGTTACATGGAGTAGAACAGGACAATTATTTATTCGTCCATTTGCTTCTGGAACTGATCGATCAATTAAAGCAACAAGTGAAGTTCATATAAATAATATACAACGGATAACATCAGAAAATAATATGCTATTACATAAAAGTGTTGTTACGATCATATCTGATAATGGACCAGATTGGAGTACTGATTGTACGGCGAATATTTATAACTTAGGACGAGTTTGGGAAGAAAAAAGACTGGATGCGCTGATATGGGTCAGCTATGCTCCAGGACATAGTCGTTTTAATCCAATTGAGCGTATGTTCTCAAGATTAACTGATCTGTTACAAGGTGTTATTATTGATTTGGATACATCATTTAAAGACACATCGCAACAACTAGATATGGCATTAATTGATTTATGTAAATGCTGGAATAATAAAAGTTATTGTAATTATAAAATTGATTGTCGTCCAATGTTCTCTGTTAATGCAAATGTATTTGACGGACATGAAAAACTAAAGAATTTACTAATGAATAAATCACAAATACAAATACAAGAAAATCCAAATGTTCAATTTAGTTTGCAACTCTATCTTCGTCATT